ATTAAGTGGAAATACAGGCTAACACTAAGTGCTTTGCAAAGCAAGAAATATTGCCATTTTTCCACAGGGTGTCCCCCATATTTAACTCATGTGCTTGTCACTTACTATAAATTAAGATTTCTGTACTTCTACATGAAATACAGAAAATAAGCCTATAAGGGAATTGGATTAATTCAAATCTGTTTTCCCATCTTTACTCATATCTTTTAACTGGCTCTTATTCCTGTAAAGGGAATACTTTTATTTAAAATAGAGTCCAATGGAGCTTGAATATGTTTTATCTACCTTTAAAAATGGCATTACTATGCAGTTCTAATACTGACACTTTCACAGGGGATACTATCTTCCTGAGGGTAATTGATCATCACTGAATATCACAAGATTGGACAATTTCTGTATTATTCAAATTTGTTCCCATAAAATTTGCATGAGAAAGTTTGATGTAGGTTGCATATTTTCTTCATCACAGCTAACAGGTAAGATGAGGGAAAAAAGCCTCAAAACCAGATGTGGTATATTTCATAGACTGAATTCTTACTGTCTCTGGAACCCTACCTTACACATGGTTGTAAGCCTTCAGTTAGGGGAATTTTCTATCCAAAGGATGTTCAAAGGGTTCATAATTGAGACATTTTGCTGTATAGTAAATAAGATTCTTTTTTTCCTTTATTAATGGCCTTACTACCAAAAAAAGGGAAAGACAGCAGTCATTCAATACTTTTCACTCAATAAGGTATGGTTTTAAAGAGAGTATTTATATTTTCTGTATTTAAAAGGATCTAAAATTCTGAATAATATTTTTTATTTCTTTAATCAGTTGTGATAGGACTTATTTGGAAGGCCGGAAAGGCTAGAAATTATTTTTTAGAAATTATCTTGCTGCTATATTTGATATCTTAAGTCTTAACCTCTCTGTTCTTAAAATGCTAAAGTCATGTAGATGATTAACAGAATTGTTGTTTCATGAAATAGTATTTGGTAGTGATTCTAGAGGTAAGATGCAAATATTGAGAAGAAACCGTACTGACAAAATAAAATTACCACATTGAAATATGTGTCACGTATATAGTAAGCACCAACATTAGCACCTCAAAAATGAGTTTTTTAGAACAAAGCAAGCAGTATGATTTTATAAGTATTTAGTGGATGAAGGGCTGCACATGCATGGATGATTTTCATGTAAGGACTGGTTCGTTCATTACATGACCTTTAGAGATTTTCTTTAGTGGGGCATCAGAAATGGGAGTTTGGGGCATGGTATCACTTATAGTTCTTGAAGATGATGGAAAAGCATATGCAAAGACTGATAAATGGACTGGACAGCACATTTTTGTAGATGATGAAAAAGCAGAAAAAATCCTTTCCCACAACTACTAGAATAAATAATGATTATTTTAAAATATTT